TACAAATGTGCTTGATACAATTGATGTATGGTTTGTTATAAGAGCTGTAAGAGCCCCCAATAAAATGATATATTTATTAAAAAAATAAAATGATGCTGCCAGCCACCATCAGATATTCCTAGAGTTCCTGCATCAGAGTCTCTCATCCGTCTTTCATGGCACCTCTCTGTGCACAAAGTGAGTGTCTTAACCCTTTCTTGACACAGTTCTTTTCCACTTGGAATTATTTACTGATCCTATGTGTTTTCATTAATGGAAGCCGTGCTGAATCACGGGGCAGTAATGAGAGTTTTCTATGAAGTATGGATTTGGTTACACTGGTGGGTTACTCTGAACTCTCGGGTAAAATTGGGCAGGACACATTGGTCCCTCTGGACTCAGGAGGTAGGATTAGTGGGTCAAATCCGCCCCTCTAGACTCTGCCTCACTGCTTTCTAGCTAGAGCCTTTATCTGGTGTTTGCCATTCAGAGTGCCTGAACGTGTGGTCTTCACATGAACGTGGCCTCCTTGAAAGGAAGGCGTTGTCCCGACATGCTCAGGACTCAGGAAACAGAAGACTTATCTCCCATTAAAAAAGCCCAAACCAGGCAAAAGCCTTGTCAGATCCCACCTCCAAGCGGTGCCTCATACAATTCGAGTCACCTGCAGTGCAGGCCAGTCCGATAGGCAGCCCCCCTCCTGAGAGCTGCGGCTGGCTCATAGACCCCAGAGGAGGAAATGGAGGCAGGCGCTGTCTGCCCTGCAGGCTGTGCAAGGGTGAACGGTGGCATGACTGGGGGTGTGCGGGACAAACTCACAGTACACTTGGAGAGCCTGTTCCCTCAGCTCAAACAGCAATGCTCAGAGGCCCCTCTCTGTGTTTGCGGCAGGAGTGTACCTTCACCAAGATGCGCTCCAACAGCGCTCTCAGGGTGCTGTTCAGTGGCTCGCTGCGACTCAAGTGCAGGAACGCGTGCTGCCAGCGCTGGTACTTCACATTCAACGGAGCCGAATGCTCAGGACCTCTTCCCATTGAAGCTATCATTTACTTGGACCAAGGAAGCCCGGAGCTGAATTCGACAATTAATATTCACCGCACGTCTTCTGGTATGTAGAAAGACGACGCTCCGTCGGCGCTTCCGAGGCTCCCAATGAGTTCTGTTGGGTTTGATCTCTAGCTGCCCCTCACCCTCCAAAAACCCGATGGTCTGAAGCATAGGTTCCCAAATGTACTTGGCCAGCCACTCTTTTCAGAGGAAAATAAATCACTCAGCGCCCCCCTGGCAATGAAAAACTTTTGTTCTCTGGCCCATAGCCCAGAATAAAGTGTAGGTATCTGCTTTTGCAGCCCCCTGGACCATTCCAGTGCCCCACCCCATGGGCGCTATGGCCCACTCTGGGAAACTGCTCTAAATGGGAGGCTGTGTCAGGTTCCCAGCACATGATTCTCCAAGGTTTCACTTTAGAATTACGTGGGCATCTTAAATGCATGTCATTATTCATGCTGGGTCCCATCTCTGACCAATGGCATCAGAATCTCTGGGGACAGGACCCCACATCCACACCCGCCCTGAGGATTCTGATGCAGTGACCAGGGTTGAAAAGGCACAGTCCGCTGAAGTAGCCATGCCATAGAGCAGTCGTTCTCCCCGGGCTCATCTGGGGGACCTTAACCATGGTCCATGCTGGGTCCTCCCCGCCCTCCAAGGCAACGGGCCTTCCGGACTAGCTCCAGGTTATTCTAGTGTTCAGCCGAGGTTGACAACCACTAGTTTAGATGTGTAAAAAGACTGATGCTGCCGCTTTGTCCTTAAAAGGGTGGAAAAGTTCTGCTGAATTTGTCAAAGAGAACCTTTCTTTGCCATCCCTGCTTTGTGGGGTGTTTTCCCTCTACCTACTAGGAGAGACCCAAAGCACAAAGCAAGCCGATGGCTGTCCAGTAGGACAGGGGAGAACTGTGCCACAGGGCTCCTCGGGTTGCATATCCTTACAGGCACAGACGGCCACAGCTTTGTCCAGTGGAGCAGCTGGTGGGTTTGAACCACTGGCCTTTGGCTTGCCAGATGACTGCTTTCACTGCTCATGACCAGGGCGAGAAGAATACATTCGATGAAATTATTTTCAGGTCCATTAAAGAAAATTTAGAAAATACCCAAACCCAGAAGACCCAACCAAGCCCACTGTTCTTGAGTCAATCCCAACTCGTAGTGACCCAAGAGGACAGAGTAGAACTGCTTCATAGGGTTTCTAAGAATGCCCATCTCTATGGGCCGAAGCGGACAGCCTCATCTATCTCTGGTGAGGTTGAACTGCCAACCTTTGGGCGATGCAGCCCAATGCTTAACCCATGGTTGCCACCAGGGCTCTTTAAAGCAGAAGGGGGTGTGGTGGGGGAACACCTGTTAACATCACCCAGCACCTCCACTGACAATGTTTGGCTGAAGGCCGTTTTGATTTCTCGGGTTACAGTGGGGGTGGCACCCCAAAGGTGACCCCCTCTGATAAAGCCATCACTATCCTCATCGTTATTCCCGCGTGAAGGAGTTTCCTACTAAACCCATGCCAAAAATCAGCAGAAGGAAGAAGGAAAGCCACCTTCGGCCCCACCGCTAACCAGCTCAGCTCATACCTCAGCCTCCTTCAAGGGATCCAGGTCAGGTGTCACATTCACAAACCAACATAGCACACTTGGTCCCCCAAGAATCGGCTGTCCCCCTTTCACGTGTTCCCTCAAGCCCTCACAGCACCCTAGCCAATCTAGGGAAGCTATTTATATGTGAAGACAGCCCATCGAAATAACAGGTCTTAACCGAGCCAGGAGCCCTGGTGGATCTGCGGGAGGAAGACGTGGCAAGCTGCTTCCCTGAAGATCACAGTCTAGGGAGACCCTGTGCAGGGGGTGGGGTGGGGGCAGTGCCACGCTGCCTGCAGGGTCACCGTGCGTGAGAACTGACTCCACAGCAATGGTTCTGGTGGGTTCGGTTCAGGAGGGAGGAGTTCTGTGGGTGAAATGGTCGTGTGTTCCACTGCGAACCGGGAGGTGTGGTTGGAACCCACCAGTTGCCTTGTGGGAGAAAAGACGGGCCATCTGCTGGCCTAAGTCTACAGCCTAGGACGCCATATGGGGCAGTTCTCCACCGCATGGGGTCTCCATGTGCCGCCAGACGGCACCCGACAGCCACAGCCCAGGAGAGGAGACAGGAAAGCGTGCAGCAAAGCGAGAGCAGAACTCTGCTCTTTTGTCTCCCAAGCCTTTTCCATTTTAATTTGTGTTATCAGATCTAAAAGCCTTTTCACGCCTGCCCTAGACACTTGTGCTGAAAAGGAAGAGACGCTTTTCATCTGAGTAGTAGTGTCTGGAATGAGGAAAGCCAAGCTATAAAAAAAAATATATATATATATATATTTTTTTTAATTATTATTAGGAAGTGATATATGTTTCCATGGTAGTTGGTGAAGGCAGCTACTTTCAGTGATAGGATCTTTAAAGCGTGCTCAGTAGCTGGCTCGGCTGTAGGCCTCAGGGCCAGGCACTGTATCACAGAGGTCGTCTATTATTCACGATCACCCTTCCCAACCATGATGTGGAAATCATTTGGTGCTGATCAGCTGGGTGGAGTGTCATAAGTAATTTATTAAGGATAGTCTTGTGTTAAGGCAGATTACAGGTCACCTCTGTAATATCATTATTTTATCCAGAACACTCATACTCTTCCTGGAGGAGAAAAGAAGGGGTGAATTGGTAGTGCGTCAGAGCATGGCTTAGCACCTTGGGCACGCCCGTGGCAGTTTGAGGAGCACTTGGATATCTCCTGTTACACGGGTCCAGGAGGAGAAGAGGTTAAGGACCCCTAATCCGACGTAAGAGGGGCCCTTCAAAATAGGTGGTGGAAAAAAACGGAATACAGAAATAACGGACTTTTTAATGAGCTTCTTGAAACCCCCGCGTATTTTAGGTGCTTAACACCCTGCTGCATTCAAGAATCGAACCCGGGCCCCCTGCATGACGGGCAAGAATTCTACCTGTGAACTGCCAGTGCTCCTGGTGGTACAGTGGGCTAAGCATTGAACTGCTAGCTGCAAGGTTGGTGGTTCAAACCTGCTGGCTGCTCTGTGGGAGGATGATGAGGCTGCCTGTTCCCATACATGTTGGCAGTTTGCGTAACCCTGTGGAGCAGTTTCTGTTTGGTCCTATAGGGATGCTATGATTCAGCATAGACTCGATGGCAGTGGGTTCTTGGTTTGGGTTTGATAAGCTGCCGTACTACATTATTACTCCAGAAAGCACTATAGTAGGTACTGCAAGCCAAAACACAAACTCACTGTCGTCATGCTGATTTGACTCATAACAAGCCTATAGGACAGAGTAGAACTGCCCTTTGGGTTTCCAAGCCCGTTTAGAAAACAACAACAAAAAACCCCACTGCTATCAAATTGATTCTGACTCACTGATCCCAGATAGGGTTTCAGAGGATCAGTAAATCAGTGTTTCTCAAAGTGGGTCATAATGCCCCTTTAGAAGGGTGCTGGAACAATCGGATTATGGGCTAAATTACACAAGTTTTCATTACTGAGGGGTGCTTATTATTATTTTTTTTTCTTCCTGAAAAGGCGGCAGTGGGCCAAATAAGTTTGTGGGCTTATCCTGGAAACCTTTATGGAAGCAGATGGCCTCCTATTTCTCCTGCAGAGCAGCTGGTGGGTTTGAACCACCTACCTAATGGGTAGCAGTCCTGTGCTTACCCAATACCGCCACCAAAATAAAGTAATGCAGTACTACATCATTCATTCAACACGCATAATTTCACTTGCCAAAGACTATGAAGTGACCGTTCATCTTTCCTGTGTAAAGCTGACGCTGGCCCCAAGGTGGCTTCCTGAGTCAGAGTGTCATAGGGGGAGGGGATAGGTTTCTGGGTCACAGAGATCCAGATTTGGGGAATTCATGACACCGCCACTTGACTTGGTATGAGAATACCAGATTAAATGAGATTATGCATCCACCACTTAGCTAGCCAGATTTGGGCAACGACCTAAACTAGAGCCAGGCTGCTAGATTCTGAGAGACCAGCCTAGATTCCCTGGTGCAATAGCTGAGGAGGCAGGTTGCTTCAGCCCTCCATCCCTGGGGCTCTCTAGCCCCCACCACACAGAAAGTGTCCCCAGTCACGTGTGTACGCTCCCGGTATGTCAGTCCATCTCCTTCGAGAATCTGGGAACCTACAGTTTCTTTTTCCCCCAAAAGGCACTAAAGTTGCCTGTTAAAATGACCACAGGGAGAAATAGGTTTTCATCATATGGTAATCTCCTTGGTTGGTGAGGTGGAATACAAGTTGTTTTGTTAGTTTGTGAAAGTCTTGCAGGCATTGAAAAGGGTACCAACTTAAAGCTTAGAATATAGAGGAAAGGAAGTCTTTGTTTTGCTTAACTGTGAGGAAGTTCTGTATAAAATTTGATTCCCAACTTGCAGGACTAGTAGAATGCTTACGTTAGAACTTCTTTTAATGTTACAAAAGCACTATCTTTTATTTTAAAAGCATCAAGTATAAGTACTCCATTAAAAGATAACTTGCATTATTAAAACAAAGTTGTGTCTTTTTAAAGTGTAGGCTTCCTTTGGTTTAATTAAATGAATTGCCATTAAAAAAGTTTTTTAGGTTATCTCTTATTGAATACATTCTGTTCTTTATGATTGGGATCTGTAAGTAAATTGTTTTTTAAGCTTAACTCCTAGGATGGAATATATATGTATTTATATACCAACTTAGAAAAGAGAATTTATCTTTATTAGATCCTTATCAAGTTTTGGGATTAGCCATGCATTAAGCAGATTGCATTGTTTGCTAAAACAATGAAACGTAGAGACTTTGCTGACCTAAAGAGTTGTGTGTGTTCCATCTTTGTCTTGCAGTGGAAGGACTTTGTGAAGGAATCGGTGCTGGGTTGGTGGATGTTGCTATTTGGGTTGGTACCTGTTCAGATTACCCAAAAGGAGATGCCTCTACTGGATGGAATTCAGTGTCTCGTATCATCATTGAAGAATTACCAAAGTAGCCTTTAAGTTTCACCTCGACCTCGCTTTACCATACTTTTGAATGTTTTTCTTAATTGCATATGATATCAGTTTTGTATCTGTATCTGAATAAAAATGAAGTGCCACATGTTTACAGACCAAAGTGTGATTTCACACTGTTTTAAAATCTAGTATTGTTCATTTTATTTCTATCAGAAAGGTTGTGATTCTTTAGTTGATTTGAGTATTTTCTTTATGTTTCCTGAATCTATACTTTGGGTTGTCATTGTGGTCTCCAGCTTTACCCATTTGCTTAGTGTAGCATGTTTTAAAATGTCAAAGCTACTATAGCATTTTTAAAATACTGAAGTTGCCAACCTTTTTATAAGTTGTAAATGGTCAGAACTGGTTTATAACTGTCAAATAAACCTAATTTCAAATGACTTTAATGCCTTGCAACTAACTGCCATTGAAATTAGAGTTGATAGTCATTTGTAGCTGGAGCCCTGGTGGCATTGTGGGTGATAAGTTGGGCTGCTAATCACAAGGACAGTAGTTCAAAACCACCAGCCACTCCGACGGACAGAGAAGAGTATTTCTAAGCCCCCAAAGAGTGACAGTCTCAGGAACCCACAGGGGCAGTTCTACCTGCCCTCTAGGGTCACTATGAGTCAGCATTGACTCGATGACAGTGAGTCTGTATCTGAAAAGCTCAATATAAACATAATTTTGCATGTCCTTATTTAGCAGTCATATATTGATTTTTAGTAACTGTATAGTTAGTACGATTCCACATTTTGTTGAAATACGAAAAAGAAGGGGTGTTTATGTGTCAGGAAATATACTGGCCCTTTAGGAATTTTATCTTTATTTTAAAAAGAGTAAAACTAATGGACTCTGCCTGCAGGTTGTTTACCATTTGATAGCGAAGATCAGAAACATACAAAAATATTAACACATCCAGGATGAATGTGCTGGTAGGAGTCCGAGTGGTGTGAGCAGTTGGTAACCTGCTCCTCACCTAAAGTTCATCCCCCCCAGCAGGACTGCAGAAGCAAGGACCGGCCGACGGACTGCATCGGTGACTAGTCCAGCCCAGACGCCCGTGGAGTGGTTCTGTTCTGTACCACCGGTTGCCGCGCACTGGAAGTTGACATGAAGGCAGCTAACAAAGGCAGTGCTTTGAGTGTCACAGACGTTGAGGGGGGGCATGCAATTCACAGGAGGGCGAGATCAAGACCTCTGGTGGAGGTGTAAGACTGATGAAGTTAAGGAAATCAGTTCTCGATTTAAGTAAATCTGGACTGGACTTGAAAGTTCCCGTATGAACTTGTAACGTATTTCATCTTAAATAGCAACCACCAAATCTCCTAACTTCGTTTACTGAAAAGGCCTAACAACAGTGACCAATCCACCAGTGCCCAAATTATGATCTCTATGTATCATTTCCTACTAATGAGGATGAAGGCTCTTTGGAGAAATAGCTGGTGTCTTCTCCTTTTCAGCAGGAAATGTATCATATGAGCCTGGAACATCCTGGAAACCAAGGTGACTAAAGACCTCTCAGAAGGATGAAAATATCGAACAGACTTCCACCGGCAAAAATGACAGAATGCGGGCATCAATAAACAATCACAGTGTTTAGAAACACATCAAGTATGTTGTTAGGTATTTTAAATTCCAACTCATAGTGATGCTATGTACAAAAACCAAACTCACTGCCAACGAGTTGATTACAACTCAAAGCTACAGAACAGGGTAAAATTGTCCTGTGAGTTCCTGAGACTAACCTTTTTTAAACATTGTTTTAAAAATTACTTCAATTTTTATTGCTTTTAATTTTACTGTAGAGACATGCCAGGTGGTGTCTATCCAGTTACCAGTTGACAGATATTTAGATTGTTCTCAGTTTGGTGCTTTTATCAATAATGCTGCACTGAACACATACAAATCTTGGTGTACACATTTTTTTTCCATTTCTTTGGGATGTATTTCTCTAGGATTGAGAATGCTGGGTGGTGTAGAATTGTATATTTAGTGTTCTAAGGAACTGCCAAACTGTTTTCCAAAGTTACTGTCCTTTTACATTCTCACCAGCAGTTCCATGGATTCAAGTTCCAGTTTTATCATTAATACTTATTATAGTCAGACATTTTGATTTTGGTCATTCTAATAGACATAGAAGGAGCCATGGTCAATGATCCAAGAGAATTCCAATTCCAATTGAGGACTCAGCAAGTGGATTTTGGGCTTTCACTGTCATCCTTTGCCTTCTGCAAACCAGGTGCGCAGGATTTAAGTTCTCCAACAATTCCCTCCTCTGATCTTGGATTTTATTATATGTAATCCTTGGATCACATGAGCTGGTTTACGCCATGTGAACTTAGGTGACACTTCACATAGATTGATGCTTGATTTAAGATAAGCCTCAACTGAGTTTTGTTTTAAAGCATGTATTTTGGATCCCAAACCCTAGTCCATTGACAGGGCGCTGCAAAAAATTCAAGCTGGATTCCGCAAAGGGCGTGGCATGAGAGATATCATTGCTGATGTCAGATGGAACGTGGCTGAAGACAGAGAACACTAGAAAGATTTTTACTTGTATTCTTGGATTATGCAAAGGCATTCGACTATGCGGATCATAACAAATTATAGATAACATTGAGAAAAATGGGAATTGCAGAATACATCAAATGTAGATAAAACTGGTATACAGATAAAAATTGATAAGTAGGGGGGAAAAAGCAACAAGCAGCCAAGTTTCTCTGGTCCTCAGCCTCTCAGCCAGGTGATCCCTTGGCCTCTGCCTTCCCAGGGCCAGGAAGCACAGCCCCCACTGTGCCTGTCTCAGTCTCGGTGTTGCTCCTCTGCTTGGGCGCATGGCCATCTCACACCCCTTTAACAGTGTCACCTGATGGGGTCCTCTGCTCCCTCACCTTCTAGTGATGCATCACTTTGCCACGTAAGGTAGCATAATCACAAAGGTGATAGTAAATTACAGTTCCAGGTCCCAACGACACTCAAGGGGAGTTTACATAGGGTGTGTATGGTGGGGAGTGGGCAGGGATTAATTAGCGTTCATTCTGCCTACCACAGCCAGCCAGCTGGCCATTCAGCATTGCTGAACCCACTGGATCAACCAGTTAAGGGAACAGTCATCAGTCCGCTGTTGTCAATGAACCTAATTACCAAGGGAAATTGAGTAGCTGCTCCACAGTGGAAGCAGCTAGGACTACGGGAGATTTCCAAGGTGCCTCTCTGTACTTCTGCACGCCACAGAAAGATGAATAGAAAACTATAGCAGCGAGAAAAAGGCTGGGCCCTGCAGGAGGGAAGATTTGTATCATTGTACCAGGTAAAGCACGCAGAAGTTCTGGCCATCGGCAAGGGAAATATGGAATGAATGGACGGTTGAAGGCAAAAGCCCTGGATGTAAATGTTGACATCATGACTAATAATAGGAACAAGGTCTATAGTAGATTTACATGTTATTTGTGTTTGTGTGTGTATTCCCATCCTTCCCCCCTTTTTATTTGACATATAAGTTGGAAGTTAATTTTACAATGCAGTTTGTAGCTAACAGAATCCGCAGTGGGATCGTGGCAGAATATGAGGAGCAACGAACGTAGCCAGCAATGGCTGTGGTGACTGAGGACTCGGTGTGGCGTCTCATACTGGGGAAGAGTGAGAACTTTGCTAAAAGAGGGTAGAGTTGGTTGCTTTGTCGCGGCAGAAGTGTGCCTCTGGAAGCCAGGTAGCCATAGGTGTGGACTGACCCAGGTGGTGCTGTCAGTAAGCACTTGACTGCTAACCGCAAGTTCAAACCCACCAGTCACACTCCACAGGCGAAAGGTGCGATTGCTCCCCTCAAGACTTGAGACTCAGAAACTCAAGGACAGTGGGTTTGGGCGGGATGGGGGTAACCAGTTTATTGAATCTCATCCCTACAGCATTTCTTCTGGAGGGTGAGCATGAGGTTGAGTTGTGTTCAGAAAGGCTGCTGGCGGGACAGTGCTTCTCTTCCGGGTTTCTGATGCTGAATTCTGCCTTCTGCTCCTACTCCATGAACTGTCAGTGGTGCGGTGTTTGTGGACATTGAGGGATGGTCTTCCCACTTGCACACCCAAAATAAACAGACACTCCACTCCTTTGAGGGAGCTCTGGGCACATTGTCAGTTGAGGGTTAGGTTGCTAACCTCAGAAAGATGAACCTGTCTACTCTCACAGAGAAGCAGAGTGCATCTGTGAGTGGAGTTTAGGTCAAAGGCAGAAAAGAAGCCTGATGTGAGCAGTTAAAACTTGTCAACGGGATCCATGCTAGACCTGATGTGGTGACCAAAATCTTACATATTTCGGGGTTTACTGTTTTACTTGGTTTTTAATTGTTTATTAGGAGCTATCTCGGGAGTGTTTTGTCCTTGAAGTCACAGTATATGTTTGCTTGTTTTTGGTGGGAGGGGGTGTGAGGTAGTTAGTTTATTGTGCCAACCTGGCTGATAAACACATGGGGTTAATTGAAGGGCGAAGGGATAAATGGCTTGGTGAGCCTTGCCTTTCAAGTTCTCAGGTCTCTTGCTTTCTGATGGTCGGACCATGGTGCAGCTGCCTTAGCCAGTTCCCTGCTTCAGCTGGCAAGGCTCAGTTCCTGCAAGACATCCCAGAGGAGAAGCTGCATGGACCTACCCTGATGCAGCCCTAGGTGCTGGAGCAGCCATGTGGAGACCCCTGCCAGCGCTGAGATGCTTACATGTTCACTGATTCGGCTTTCCTCCTGTAGTTGACATTAGTGTGTGTTTTGTGAGATGGAGGACGACTTTGTGGAATGGTTATCGGACATAGGGGCTAATGTTGGACTTGTGGGCTTGAGCAGCACTGGGTTGGGATATTTTCTTGATGTGCACTTAACTTTTATATAAAACACTCATTCATGTTTCTGTGATTTGTTTTTCTAAAGTACCCAGACTAACACAGGGGGTATGAAAACCAGGACTGATGAACCTAGAGCAGAGGTCTTCAAACTACAGCCAGCGGGCCACTTGCGGCCTGCTGAAGACATTTATCCGGCCCGCCAGATGTTGTTGCCCCGTTTTGTTTTTTTACTTCAAAATAAGATATGTGCAGTGTGCATAGGAATTTGTTCATTGTTTTTTTAACTAGA